AGATTATGATAAATGGAATATTGTATACATCTTCCCCATCATAGTGCAGAATAAAAGATGAATCCTGTGTGTGTCCTACTTTTCATCTATATTCTGCAGCCATTATGTACACAACAGGGCTAAAGCTGGAATAACCAAAGGCCGCTATACTGTTTGGGACTGTCCATGCTAATTGTCCACAATATTGTTTCCAGTGGCTCTGGAAAATTCTGTACCTTAGATAATAAATAATGTACATTGTTGATATTAAGTTGTGCCCTTTTATCTCTTGCCTCTTCATGCTCCTCTCCCTCTTTTTGCATGCCTTTTGCCCCATTTTGTCAGTCAAGTGTTTTTGAACTTTGCTGATATTTAATAAATAAGCATCAAGCTATATTTTTGACTAGCTGAACTGAGTGGCATGTGTGCTTGCTCTGATCTGGACATAGGACTGATTGAGCATGTGCTGGATGCAGATTAAATTAGAAATTACTCCCAGTAATTTTCCAATAATAATTACTCATTCATACACTGTATAGATAGAAATGTTCAGCATAATACTTAACATATCTGGTAAAACAGATTATAGTCCAATCTGTTCAGTCTTTAAAATGCCACAAGATTCATTGCAGGGATCCAACTTATTATACTATTTTACCTGTATTGTATGTAAGATACAGAGTTGTTGGGGTTTTTTTAAATGTGTATCCAACAAATAGTAGAGTATATGGGCTAATGTTGCAAGTGCTTATCAGCAAATTATGTCCACTAATAATTTGCTTACCACCAAAATTCCTTTAATGTAAATAGTCATTGAAGTACTTTCTTATGAACAAAAACACATGCAATTCAATAAGAAAATCTATTTTATCAGAACTTTTTTTCACCAGCTGAAATATTTACAGTACACAAATATACACAACAATCTTAACCCAAGGCCTGGGAGAAAAACCACATTTTGAGTATTTATGGAATGTCATAAGCATGGGAGCTACATGTATCTCTGGGGGAATATCATTCCAGAGGGTAGGCACTGCAACTGAGAAGGCGTACCTCCTGGGTTCTACGAGACCTTATTTGACAGACAGGACCAGGAGGTCACCCTCTCTGCTTGCTCACCTCAGACAGGCAGAAGCATGTGGAGATAAGCAGTCTTTCATATAATTAGGCCGTATGCCACAAAAGGCTTTAAGGGTGATAACCAGCACCTTGAATTGCAACAGTAACCAGTGAAGCTCACAGAGTAGCAGGGTCACATGAACATAATGTGCCATTCACAATATCGCCCACACTGCTGCATTCTGGACCAGCTATAGCTTTTGGATCATCCTCAAGGGCAGCTCCATGTATAGTCCAAGTGACTTTCTGAAGACCCTCCTGATCCAGGAAAGGGCCCAATTAACGCACAAGATGAAGCTGTGCAAAATTCATCTTGGTTACAGTAGCCACCTACTCATCAAACAGGAGCTAAGAGTCAAAAGGACCCCCAGATTGTGTACAGTGCAAGTCTTGAATGGGGAACTACTACCCCATTGAGAGTTAACAATGGAATATCTTGACAAGTGGGGGAGTGAACTAAACAGACATAGCCACTTGGGTTTGTCAAGATTGAGGCTGAGTGTGCTCTTTCCCCCATCCAGACCTGCACAGCCTCCAAGTAATGCGTTAAGACTTCAATGGCATCACCTGGTCAGCCTGGGGTCAAGATTAACAACTGGGTATCATCAGCATACTGGTGATACCTGATCCCAAATTGATGGATGACTTCATCTAGAGTTTCCTGTAGATGTTATACAGAAGGGAAGAGAATATTGAATCCCGACCACCCTCTCCATCAACTTCCCTAAAAAGAGACAGGACAATAGTTATGCAGGACCATTGGCTCCAGCAAAGAGGAAGGAAAAAGAAAAATCTCTTTCATTTGGATGTCATAAGAACATGAAAAGCAATCCAAAATAATTTTACATAGCAATTAATTGAGTCTGCTAGTCCATAATTGCCATGTGCTAACACCCACTGGTTACACTAATGCACAGTAGTTGGTTTTATTCCTTGTCTTGTTCATCTGTACCAAAGAAAAATCCTCTGTTTGTGGAAAAGATTGTAACTGTTGGATCTGTTCTGTTTTTAGCTGTATAGTGACTGCACAATTTTATTCATAACTAACTAAAAATCAAAACCTAAAGGATCTAGCTGTAGCTATTCTTATGGAGTAGTTCTTGTGGCAACTACAGAAGTGTGAACCCCAGTTCCTAGTTTTTCCCCTGATCACACTTAAAAGCAGCCCTTTAACATGTGCCTAGAGAAAGTAAAAAGAAATAGAAAAACAGCATGGATTGATTGACAAAAACTTATGGTTAATCAAGAGTTTTACTACAGTATTGTAATGGCCTCAGAGAGATAGGTAGGTTAACTGGTAATTTTTATTTCTAGATACATTGTGGGAAGAAAATGCAAACTATTCTAGTTAGAGAAAGAGTATGCTTTGTGGGGATAAGAGGAGCAATAATCTAGCTGAAAGATACCACACTAGGGAAGAATGCTGTAAAGAGAGAGTACCTATTACTTCCTAAACAGACCCTAGAAATTTAAAGTCATTCAGAATAAAAAAGTATTCCCAGGCTGTGTTTCAATCAGATTCAAACTACATTCCTGCCCTTTTATCCTGCTCTTTACAATTGCCTTGTGCAACACACTTTCTCCTTGTGAAACACTGAACCAAAACAGGAATTGAGAAGCTCTGCTTTTCCTTTACTACTGAGCTTTAACCTTTCTGAAAACATTTCTACAATTTCAAGCTATCTTTATTCACAATTTTTTGGTAAATTGGTTCTTCGTATATATGGTCCCTCTTTATATGTGTTGTTTTCAGATCTTCACTTTGCTTGTTATAAGGGCATGTTGGATTCTTCTAACTAATTTATTTTCGATTGTACTGTTATTATTCCCCCCCTCCCATTCTTAAGTTCCTATTCCCATTAGCTTCTTCTGCCATGGAATCCTCCCTATCATTTATATAATTTCATTAAAGGATTTTTTTTTGAAGTTCAAAATATGCATCTAACTATATTGTTTTATGTAATGGGAGAGGGGGTGTTCTCTTGGAGTCAGTCTTGACTACTGGCAACTGCCTGGACTAGCCCCTGCAGTTTTCCCAGCAACAATTTTTTGGAAGTGGTTTGCCATTGTTTTTTTCTAGAGATAAGAGAAAGTGACTGGCCCAAAGTCACCCAGCTGGCTTTGTGCCTAAGGCAGGACTAGAACTTATAGTTTTCTGGTTTCTAGCCTGGTGCCTTAACATTACATCAAACTGGCTCTCAACTATGGAGTTACTTTCTTCCAAAGTATGTGCTACCTCCACTTCTTTAACAATTTTTTCCCTATAATCAAAGATGGCTGATCCTCTTTCCTTCCTCCAACTTCTAAGGGCAAAAGTAATCAGCAAGAGAAGTCATTTAGCAGACCTTGACTGATTTCAAACTGCCATGATCCATGGCTGGATCCGGTTAGTACTAGGATGCAAGATCACAAGAGAATCTTATGTCTGTAGACTAGACTGAGAAGGAAATGGCACCTCCATATTATTGTCAAGAAAAAAACATGGACATGTCATCAGGGCTTGAGCTTACCTCAAAGGAGACTTATCACAGTCCAGCCTTTTTAAAACAAAACACTCATGCCTTAGTCACCTCCAAAATGGACCACTCCAATGTACTTTACATGGGGCTGTCCTTGAAGAACATCCAGAAGCTGCAGCTGGTTCAAAATGCAGCAGTGCAGGCAAGTTATGTGTGCTCCTCAAATGGCACCTATTACTCCTCTGTTCTGAGAGCTGCATTGGTTGCTAGTGTGCCTCCAGTTTCAATTCAATTGAATTGAATTCAATTTCAATTCAAGGGGCTAATAATTACCTATAAACCCCTTCATGGCATGGGGTCAGGTATTGAGGAACTGCCTCTCCCTGATTGTGTCTACAGATCCAGGAAAGCCACACTATGGGTCCTGTCTATTAAACAATGCCATCTGACCAAAGCCAGGAAGAGAGCCTTTTCTGTAATAGCATACACTCTTTGTAGCATCATCCCCCTGGAGATTAGACTAGCCCCAACAATTGCCTTTTTTAAGGCTTTGAAGATGTGACTAGTCACCAGTCAGGACAGCAGGAACATATGGCAGAGTCTGTGAGTTGGTTATGTTAATGTTTGTAGTTTTATGTCAGCTCCCAGTTATGGATTTATTGTTATATTATTGGTGTGTTTTTAACTGTTAGCCATCCAGACTCATAATGGGCAACCATATAAATTGAAATAAATATCTCTATAATGAAACATCACAAAGCCAGTCTTAATATTAAAAACTAGTAATTCAATTAATGCACTTTAAAAAAAGCTACCTTGCGGGAAGTTGGATTAGTCCTGGATAAGCCTGTATGCAGAATATTTTGAGGTTTCATACAGGTTCTACCAGAAGTTTGTCAAAAAGGGTAACTGAAACAGAGCTCCGAAATGAAAGTATTAGAGGAAAACAGGACATAGAAGGCGGCCATGGCACGTTTCTATAAACCACTCGCACAGGTTATTCATTAAACCAAAAACGACAACTTCCCCTCAAGGAATGGCCGTGCTCAACAAAATCTTCTCCCCTCATAGAATCTCCATCCGCTAACATCTCCTCTTTCTGTTCCGCGGTGATTGAGAAATCGGAACTTAAATCATTTTCTCGTCCTCAAAATGGCTTTCTATATATTATTCTGAGACATTCATTATTAGGCTCGGTTGTCTATAATGTAGCTGTAATCCCTCACTACAGAACTTGAATCCCAGCGAAGAGAAGAAACAAAAAAACCCACCCAGTACTCCCGCCTGAGTCGATTTTAAACTACGCGACTGAGAGGCTTACTCAACGTACGGGCTCTGATGGGAACCCGCGCACAGGCTCTCTAGCTGAGGCAGCCAATCCCAGGACCGATTTGGGTTTCCGCCGACCAATCGAAATACATTTTATTGGCGGATGGCAAAGCCGTCCGTTGTTTTGTGCGCGCTGAGAAGGAGTTGGGTACGGTGAGCGTTGGGCAGATTGTTCCTCCTCTTCCTTTTAGCCCCCCCCCAACCCGCTTTGTTGGTTGTTCTTTTTCTTGCTGCCCCTGGGAAGCGTCGGACTCTGGCGATGCCCGAGTTTTTGGCAGACCCGTCGGTGCTCACCAAGGAGAAGCTGAAGAGCGAACTGATCGCTAACAATGTGAGCCTGCCGGGAGGTGAGCAGCGCAAGGATGTTTATGTGCAGCTCTACCTTCAGCACCTCACTGCCCGCAACGTGCCTGGAGTCCCCGCGCAGCCGGACTTCTCCAGTGACGAGGAGCGGGAGCCGACCCCGGTTGCCGCCAGGAACAGAGGGGGCGGTGGTAGCACTGCTACCGTCACTGTGGGCCGGGTAAGCGGTTTGGCGATCCTTCTCTTTATTTCGCGAATTGCGAACGCGGTTTCCATCTCCCCTTCATGGCCTTCCGCACTGAGGGGGCGGTAGAGTTTTCCCGCTTTCTCTCGGAGGGGGCGGCGCGATGTTTTGTCACTGACTGAAGAGGAGGGAAGAGAAACGGTGCTTGCGCGTGGTAAAGCCTTAGTAAATCGCCTTGGACTAGGTAGGCTAGCGGGACGTCTTGGTGAAAGGAGGATGGGCACTCGATGCGTCTAAGCAGACTGAAAAAGGCAGTTCGGGCCCTAACAGCGTGTAATGGTGAAATGCATGCTGATGTAGTCTCCCCAACCGACACTTACCGCCTTTGTGCTCCTGTTGTAGAGATGCTAATGCGGTCTTTACAGAAGTTTAAAATTTGTGGGCAACTTGTTAACGGCACGGTTTCACTATACAGGAACCGCAAGCAAGCATTTTTATTGTGCCATATCCTCGCCTTCACCAACATGATCCTCCCCTGCATTTCATTGTAATTCCCATCATTTGGATTATCCATACAGATTGGAAATGATAGCAGTTTCAGTGTATCACACTTGATAAAATCGGGTTGAGGAAGGCTGTTATATGGTATACTGTTCCCTTTGCATTCACCACGTGAAAGATCTGTACTAGGCCAATAGCGTCATTGCTTATTGAATTTCTTCCCTGCTTTATTGCTTGTTCAATAGTTAAGGTTTACTTACAAGAATAAAAAAATCTTATATAAAATTTAACACATTAACGCATTTAAAGTTAATCATTAAAATAATTTAAAATCATTTTTTAAAAAGTGTTTTTACTATCTACCTGAATCCAGGGAGTGTGTTCCATAGCCTGGGAGTCACACAGAAGGCCCATTCCCATGTACTTGATGGTAGAGCTCCTGCTGCAAGGGTATGTTCAGAAGGGCCTCTCTTGCTGATCTTGCATGGTTCACAGTAGGAAAGGTTGCTCCATAGATAATAAAACTTTAAGCCATTTAAAAGGTCAAGAGTATTATCTTAAATTGTGCCCTGTAGAAAATTGGTAGCCAGTGGAGATCTAAGTGTGAATAACTCCAACTAGCTCAGGAAGAGTTGCACTTGGCATACTCTTCATCGTAGCTACTATTTGCAAATCTGTTGACAGGAGGTCAGGAAGTGTCCCCAAACTGAACCTGTGTTTTTGGGTGAGTGTAATCCCCAGGCCTATGTTCACAACATATTCAAAGTCTAGCCTTTATCCAGTCTATTGAGATTAATTGAAGAGGGGGAAACATTTGAAATGACTTATGGTGTCCCAGAGATACAACTCTAGTATTTTATAGATTAGAAGTGGTATGCACTAGGAGCTTGCTGTTTAGGCCTTCCATACCCACTACCCCACTGTAAGAGAGGGCCTTGAGAGGAGGTAGTGCAAGCCCATTGCAAGAATAGTTAGATGAGGAAGGGTTGAAGCAATTCTAGGTTCATGATCTAAATAGTGGTTTAGGAGCTGTTTGTAAAGCTATTCTTGCCTTATTCCTTCAGTTCCTAGTGTATATCAGAGAATGAAAGTGCAAGAGGCAAGATGTAGTGAGCAATTGAGACAGATCATGCAGGGTGAAGAAGTTACCCATAGTTTCAGATAGTTAGCAATATCTAGCTTCCTAGGGAAATACCTTGAACGTGACATTAAAACTCTCTTATGGCTCTCAATGTCACCAGTAACTGCAATTGTTTGCTTAGTCACCCCTAATTTCTGCCAAACACTCCCCTCATTTTACCAGATTTGCTTCCCTTCACCTTGCCTTGCTTCTGGATCTTCATTGTGGATTCCTTTGATATGATGAACTGATTTTTTTGCCTACCTGGCTTTGACCTGCTTTTATCTGACTAACGTTTGATTCTCCTTGGCTTGTAAGGAGTTTATTGCTGCTTCTGTCATAAATGGGACAGAGTATGTTCATAATACCACCTTTCTCTGGCTCATTTAGTTAGTTCAGAGCAAAGTGTTCTGCATTATTGTTATTATTTAAATATTTATTTACTGCATATTTAAAGGCAGTTTATAGTAAAATTGGCAATTAAAACAATAATTTAGAACACTTAAAATCAGGGCTGTGGAGCTGGCACATAAAACCTTCAACCCTGACCCCTTTATTCATGGTACATCTGACTCCTTTAATT